TTTTGAGACAGGGTTTTTCTATGGCTTTGGAGACTGTCCTGGAACTAGCTCTTGTAGACCAGGCTGGTCTCGAACTCAAAGAGATCAGCCTGCCTCTGCCTCTGCCTCCCGAGTGCTGGGATTAAAGGCGTGCGCCACCAACGCCTGACTTGATGATGTGGATTCATGATATGAATACACACACAGTCACCTTACTGATTTCTTATGTTGATCTTAACAACTATGTGGAATGTCTTTAATTCCCACTAGCTGATTCTATTTACAACTGATACTTTAGGCTCTTCTTTTTTACTCTATTGTGTACATGCAAACGTGGGCACATGAGTGTGTGTGTGCCTGCCAGGTACCCTAGTTTCCTTTATGTTGCTGCAATAAAATACCCTGACAAATGCAGGGAAAAGGGGCTACTGCAGCTCACAACTCCAGGTAACAGTCCATGGTGATGGGAGACACCAGGGTGGCGAGATCCTGAAGTAACTAGTCATACCCACAGCCAACAGCAGAGAGAGAATGAATGTATGCATGCTTGCACTCAGCTCTATAACTCTTCTACAGTCCAGGATCCCTTGCCTAGGGAATGGTGCTTCCCAGAGTGGGCTGGGTCTTCCCACACAATTAGCATACTCAAGACAGACATTCCCACAGGCCAGCATGACCTAGACAGTCCCCCACAGACACACCCACAGGCTGGCCAGCTCCACCTAGACAGTCCCTCATTAAGACTCTTCAAAGGGGATTCTAGACTGTGTCAAGTTGACAAATGTACCATGGCACTAGGCAAAGGACACTACTGTGGAGATTCATCCCCAGTTCACCTTTCTTGTTTTACTGCACTCACTAACCAGTACCTTCCCACAGTGTCAGATAATAGTGGTGACGGCAAGAATCCTGATGCCGTTCTCAGCTTTACTGCAGAGAAGTACACAGGAAGATTTATTTAATGTTAATGTAATGGACTTTGGGAATAAATGTGGTTGGTGGTTTAGTATTATTTTCTGGGAGATTTGACTTGCTCACGTTTTATATGGAATTTTTATGTTTATGCCCCTGAGATTAATGTGTATACATATTTTGATTTGTAGTTCTGGGTAGAGAACCCAGGGCCTTGCATGAGCTAGTCAAATGCTCGTTACCAAGGTGTTCTTCGAGTACTATTCCTGTTCAGCACTGTTATGGCTCGCTTCTGTTACCAACACTCACAAGGCGGTCTTTCTCTATTCCCCCTCTCTCCTTTTCATTTTTTGTTCCTGGAGATCACGCAATTATAATACCATCAATAAAACACTGACAGGAAAGTAATTTATATAACTGGTCTTCTTTCATAAAAGTATGGTCTTGGCATCAATCAACTGGGAAAACACAATACGGGAACTCTCCCTGTTCTCAAAAGTAGATGCTGGCTTCTTAAACAGAAAAGAGAGGCCTTGGACATCTGTTTCATTGTATTAGAGATGAAAGTTTGATGCTTTGATAAATGCAACTAGGTCACACAATACCATCCCTAGCTGTAAGGGTGACTGGACATATCAGCTCATTTTGCCGTCAAAATTAAGACTTCCATTATAGCTACCCCTAGGAACTGATCAGGTGCTCCCTTAGAAGTTACTTGTTACCTTACTGTTTCTATGGAGGCAGCTTTTACATTTTGAATATTTATGCTTGCCTTAAAAAAGAAAAGGCTGGGCATGGCAGTTTATGTCTTTAATCCCAGCACTCAAGAGACAGAAGCAGGCAGATCTCTGAGTTTGAAGCCAGCCTGGTCTACAGAATGAGTTCCAGGACAACCAAGGCTACACAGAGAAATCATGTCTCAAAAAACAACAACAACAACAACAACACACACACACACACACATACCAATGAATAAACAAATAAATAAATCTCAAAAAACAAAAAAAGTATATGAAAACAATCAACATCTCTCTTTAGTCCATAAATTATATTAGCACCTTGGGGTATTTTCTTCATTATAATTAGGACTCTTGAGCCGGGCGTTGTTGGCGCACGCCTTTAATCCCAGCACTCGGGAGACAGAGGCAGGAGGATCTCTGTGAGTTCGAGGCCAGCCTGGTCTACAGAGCTAGTTCCAGGAGTGAGTTCCAAAGTCACAGAGAAACCCTGTCTTGAAAAACCATAATAATAATAATAATAATAATAATAATAATAATAATAGTAGTAGTAGTAGTAGTAGTAGTAGTAGTAGTAGTAGTAGTAGTAGTAGTAGTAGTAGTAGTAGTAGTAGTAGTAGTAGTAGTAATTGGGCTGGAGAGATGGCTCAGGGGTTAAGAGCACTGACTGCTCTTCCAGAGGACCTGAGTTCAATTCCCAGCAACCACATGGTGGCTCACAACCATTTGTAATGGGATCTGGTGTCCTCTTCTGGCATGCAAATAAATAAATCTAAAAAAAAAATAGTAATAATAATGACTCTTTAGCCTCCTGTTATTGTTGTCTATTGTTTTGAGGCTACAAATATGCCACAACTGACCACTGACCACGTCTTTACAGCATTGCTGGTGCCTCCGTGCACAGTCAGTTCTTCCCACTGTTTGCCTCTGTCTTCTATATACCCTTCTCCTGTTTCTTCAGTTTTAACTTGTGGAAGTATCTCTGCTAATAGATCTTTTATTTTTAAGCGTGTGTGTTTACATGTGCACTTAGGTGCAGTTGTCCATACAGGAGGAGGACATTCACCCCCTGGGGCTGGAGTTACAAGTGGTTGAAAGCCACCGGACACGGGTGCTGGGGACTGAACTGTGATGTGCTTTCAACCCTGAGCCATCTCTTCAGTTTGAGTGTCTCAGCCTTCAATTGTCATGAACCAGTACGTACGCCACCGACTCTCAGTTCCAGCTCCCCATTTGTGTAGGTCTGAGGCCACATTTCCTGACCCAGTATGGGCAACACCCCAACGCCCAGACCTCAGGGCCTGGGTCTCCCAGATTCCACGGCACTCACTGGTCCTCTTCCCATTTCCTTCCAGGTTCCCTTCTAACTCTAGGACCTGAGGATTTCCCTTTCTTTGTTTTAAGCTTGGCTTTATATTGTTATATTTCATCCTGTGTTTGTCATAGGAAGTGGGGGAGGGTCAACACTAATCTTTCCAGTTACTATTACTGGAAGTGCACATATTCTATTTATAACACATTTTCCTCTCACTCATGTTTATGACTACTTTAAAATAAATATCATATATTTTGATAGAGAAAACAGACATGACAGACAGCTGGAGACGTCTTCTGTTTCAGCAAAAGTTATAAAGTTTCTAACATTTTTCTTGATTTGGGTACATAGGGAACAGTCCCCAGGCACTAACTTAAGTGAATGCAACTGTAGCTGAGAAATGGAATTTTCCATCATTTCTATTTTCCCCGAATGTCCTTCACTTCTCCTTGCTCCTTGGAGGTGATTCCTGACAGGCACCTGCTCCTGTGTGCTTGACACCCTCCACCCTGAGAAGACCGGAGCAGACTATCTAGAAATCTGTCTCTAGCCATACCCAGGGCCCAGTGACTCTGGCAGATAAACAGTTGGCTGGGGCCTGAACTGCTTCTAAATCACAGGAACCCAGAGCTTCCAACAGATGAATGGGTTCCACCTCATCTGCATTTCAGTGTGACTCACGAATTCCCTGGGACTGTATCCCCAGGCAGCTGAAAGTGTATTTGGTTGGTCAGCCCAAGGCCTTCACTGTCAAGGTACTGGATTGGAAGACTTCCATTCACTCTGTTGACAAGAATAGAAATCTCTTCTCATGACAGTCCAGTACAGCCTTTGGGAGAATGACGTCTCTAAATATGCACCCCCCACATGCCCAAGGCTCAGAAGTGGATGACAGCATCCAATGCAATGGAGACAGGGGGACAGTCACCGAGGCCAGTGAGTAAGTGGGGGGCTTGTCCACCTAGCTTCTCAACAGTCACAAATGAGCCACAGGACGCAGCAGGGGCAGGCCTCTGCACCGTGTGTGTGTGTGTGTGTGTGTGTGTGTGTGTGTGTGTGTGAGTAAATATACTGTAGAAAGGCTAATACAGGCTTGCTTTCTGAGCAGTTAATTTCAATTAAATATATTTCATATATGACTACAAATATTCTTTGTGTTTTTTGTGTGTCTCTGTCTCTGTCTCTCTGTCTCTGTCTGTGTCTCTGTCTCGCTCTGTCTCTCTCTCTCTGTCTCTCTCTCTCTCTGTCTCTCTCTCTGTCTCTCTCTCTCTCTGTGTGTGTGTGTGTGTGTGTGTGTGTGTACATGGAGGCAAGAAGCCAATGTTGGGTGTCTTCCTCAACCACTCTCCACCCATTTTTTTTTTTTTATAAATGAACACAGGGAGTCTCTCACTGAACCTGGAGCACAATGATTTGGCTAGACTGACTGGCCAGTGAGATTCTGGAATAAACCTGTCTCTTACAGGCACATGCTGGTGCTGGAGATCCGAACTCAGGGCCTTCCTACTTGCATTGCCACACTCACAACCCTTCACTGAAAATATTCTGAGCCAGAAAAGCACTGCACAGAAAAGCAATGGCTGGATGGGGATATAGAATGGGGAGAAGACTGGACAAGCACCAATAACCAATTATGACATTGGCAGTAATGAAACAGAAGATATTAAAAAATACATTTTGCAAAACAAACAGAGCCCGGGTCAGTGCTGTCTTATAACGTGCCCAAAGGAGAATACTGAACACAGGAAGTGTGGGGTCTCTGGGGAATGCAAGCCCACCTTAGGCACCCTGAATTGCTCTGGGGACTCCTGGTTAGTCATCAGACATTACTGAAAAACCTATTAATCAAGACCCATAGCGACAGGGGCTGCCCACTATGTCCAGGCACAGCCATTTCCTCTCCTTGGGGATAGATCAAATGTCCTCTTACGTCATCAAAGGTAGCTTCAAGAGAAGCTTCATACTCCCCTGAAAATTCTAATTTTGAAGCAATAATATTGGTGGCTCTCAGGGTGGCATAATGGCTTTCCTCATGGCATCAGGCGGGAGGGACTCACCTGTTGAGATATACTCGCTTCTCAGTAAACTGCCCATTGCCGTGGTGAGGGTCCTCGAAGGGCTCGTTCTGCACAACCTCCACTCCTTCTCCCCGGTCACTCTGCTCATGACTGTGTTTGCTGATCATGTACAGCTGTCCGATTTTGTACTGCAAAGCAAACAGAGAAACGGAGACAGAGAGGTCAGCCCCAGCTTGCCTCTGATGAATCTGCACACTATCCTCTAAAGACAGGATGCCCAGCAACTAATCACATCCACCTTCTGCCGAGAAAAGCCAGTGGTCACTTGGGTCAAAGGTGACTGTCTTGGAGCTTGGCAGAGAACTGGCCGTGAGCAGAAGTGCTCTGGCTGTTCATACTGATGCGCAGACGCTGGGAACCAGATAGTCTGCCCTGGTTTCCATTCGGGCCATACAGGGTTAAAGGGAGTTGGTGTTCTATTTGGCTTGGCCAAAGGCAGCCTAGGGAGTGTTATTTCTGTCCTGTCTTTCTAGCTAATTGGCAGCATTGCTGGGCACAGGGATTAACTGTCACCCGCATCTTCTGCCGCCCAGAATAGCAGTTCTCACAGGTGGCTAGACCGGATCGTGAGAAAGGTTGATTTTTGTTACACCCACTCCAACTTGATCTTGATGTGTTTTTGAGACAGATCTTACGAAGCTCAAGCTGGCCTCGAACTCACTTCTGCTCCTTCTGCCTCTGAGAACTGGAGACTGAACCTAGAACTTCATGCTAGGCAAGAATTATTGTTTTTGAGACAGAGTCTCTCTCTCCCTCTCCCTCTCCCTCCCTCCCTCGCCCCCCACCCTCTAGCCCTCACTAGCCTGGAACTCTTAACACTCCTGCACAGCCACTCACATGAGCAACTAATGCTAATGTCCCTAGATGCTTCAAAAGCTCCAAATCTCCACGTCCCACAACTACCTGAGTTCTAGGAGACTGTGCCATACTGAAGAACATCTCTGGTTCTCTGGGCCATTTTCACACACATGTACTAACAGTGTGGGGCCTGCTGCAGTTCAAAGGCCACGTGTCAACCCTCTAATGGTGTCATGGGGCATGCCAGAACTGAAACATTTTCTTTACTATCTTTACCCACAAGCTGTCCAACTCTCTTTCCAGCCTCCATGTCTGAGCCTGTTAGGTGACCCAGTCCAGTAGATAAAAGCACTTGCCACCAAGCTCGATGACCTGAGTTTGGTCTCTGAAACCGGCATGGTAGAAGGAGAAGGTAGAGAGAACTGACTCACGCAGGCTGTCCTCTGTCCCTACGCATGTGCTATGGTGCTGCATCCCACACAAAACAAAATTGGTATAAAAAAAAGGAAGCAACAATAACAATCCAAACAAAAACAAAATGAACAAACAAACAAAAAGCCAAGACAAAGCCAGCAGGTGTTTCTCTCCCCCCCCCCCCCCCCCCCCGTGGACTTCCAATGTGGCAAACTGAATTTTATGCCCCACTCTGTGTGTATGTGAGGGAGGAGGGGAGAGCGGTACAATTTTTGCCTGAAGGACATTTATGCTTGGGGTTGGGACTCTGCTGTGTCCTCTTTACACACTCAGTGTAAAGTCACCACCATCAAGACCTGAATCTTGGGCGAGCTAATGCAGATGCCAGGTTGTTCCTAAAAGGGCCCTGGCTAGCAGGGAGGCAGAGCCCCTGGCTGTGTGCAAAGGAGGGAAGGATCTATGCTGACTCTAGAGGCTGCTGAAATATTCAAGTCAGCATCATAGTTGGTTCCAAAGCTGAGAGGTCTCTTGTTGCAAGGTCCCTCCTTCATGCTGAGGTGGGGAGTGTGAGGATGCTCCGAACAGGCTCCAGTCTGCAGCCAGCTCAAGGGATCAGGCCCAGTAACCATGACAACGAATCAGGCTGTTGGCTGGATCTTCTCCAAGGGCTATGCTTCCTATCTGGCCATGGTCCTGTCCAGAACAAGTCCGTGTTTAAAATGCTTTTAATGTGTGTTTGTGAACTTGTGGGGAGGGAAGGCATAAGATAAGAGCAGGGCGAGGAGAGAGGAAGCTGGGAGCTAGGTCCATTTTAAAAAATGAATCAGAGGATCAGGGGCTTGACCTGGCTTCCCCTCTGTCCCGTATGGCTTTTACATTTTGTTCCCAAAAACTACCAAGGATGTCCTGCAAGGACGAGGAAGCTATACCTGTGAGGTTAATGGTCCACCATCCATGAGCTGAGGCAGGTGCTCTGCCTCAGAGGCAGATGCTTAGCAAGTGCAGATGTCAACAGCAACTATTTGTACTTGGTGTTTAAAAACTCAAAGACCATGGACAGTGGGATATTACTCAGCCACAAAAAGGAATGAAATGTTGACATTGAAGCTGCTTAACATGTGTCAGGGGTTGAAGTGTTTGAAGGCTTGAAATCTCTTAGTGGGATCATATTTTAAAAGATGACATTAGGATAGACTTATCGGGTGTAACTGGTGTCCTTACACTAAAGAGAAATCTGTAGAAAGATTGTGTGAGGAGTAGGTGCCCTCCATAAGCCGTAAATGGGCAGATGTGCTCATACCAAACCTTCAGAAGAAGAACGCTCTGCTCAGTTCCCATTTTGGTTCTGATCTCCAAGCTTAGGAGGAAATAAATGGCCGTGGTTTCACTACCAGTACAGGCCGCTCTGTCAGGCAGGCCTAATGAACAGCATGGGGTCTGGGGGTGGCTCTGTCAGTACAAGGCAAACCCACAGCACCCAAAAAAAGCTGAGCGTGGTGGCATGCACCTAGACTCCCTGAAGTGGAGAGGTGGAGGCGGTATGGGGCCCTGAAACATGCTGGCCAGCAGGCGAAGGTGCCTACGATACAAGCCTGGTGTCCTGGGTTCCAACCCTGGGACAAGTGTAAGCGGGGAAGGAAAACTGACTCCACAAAGTCGACCTTTCACCTCCACATGCACGCATGTCTCGGCACACGTCAAACACACACCCAATAGTGAATCTAAAGTAAATCATCTCCGGGTAGAGGTGATAGGTGACCTTAGGAAAACACTAGATGCTACTGGATTGTTAACTCTAAAAGGATTGTTTGGGAGGTGACAGTGGAACTTGAGCATGTGCCTAGCGCACCCAAGGCCCTGACCAGAGCTGTAGCACTGGGGATGGGGGTGGGAGTGGGTCCACAAGCCACACACACACACACACACACACACATCTGCCGAAAGGCTCTAAAGGTAGTTAATGGTTGCTACGGGAAGAAAGATGTTTTCTATAGTGTGGTAGCGACTTGTAAGTAGTCCATCTCTGTTTGCCCACTCTGAGGATCTTAGTAATCCATTTCATTTGGGCGGCTTACAGAAGTCCAAGGCAGGGGTTATTTACTCCCAGAAACATGAGCTACTGACAAGTAGAAGGGAAACTGGGGGGGGGGGGTCAGCAGCAGTAAGAGAGGGGACCAGAGGGTTATGGGAGATAATTATTATCAAAATGCATGACACACATGCATGAAAATGCCCTGTAATATAAAACCAGTACACACTTATAAAAATATGTTGAGAAGTTAGTTTGCTGTCCTGTGGATTTTATAAGGAAAGTGCTGGGTCTGTAGTCACCCACACTCAAAGTCCTGTCAAGGTCTCTCACTAGAATGCTTTGAGAAGATCTGCATCTGTCTCCAGGAGATCTGACCAACTCACGTAGGAAAAAAAAAAAGTAGGGTGCCAAGGTCGGTGTGTGACATAGAAAAGCCATTAGCCAGACTCAAGTCAGCCTGACTGGGCACAGCTCAAGTGCCTCCTGCTCAGAGGAGATGGATCCCCGCAAGGCAGGGCGGCTGATTCACAGTGGCCAGCCAGCGGGGGCCCAGCTGCCTGGCCTTGTTGATCACTCCAGCGGCTCCTCGTGGGCCAGCCCAGAGCAGACACCAGCCTTAGATCACCATGACTGTGTCAGGCTGGGGGTCGGGGGCAACCTGCAGGTGCAGGGGGGGGGTGGTGGCAGGACACTCAAGCACAGATTCAGAGGTGGACAAGGGTTCCATGTCTATCCATTCCTTCCCTCCCAGGAAAAACAGACCCGATGCACTGGTGTAAGAACCTATCAGTGTGTTGTCACAAAATGCCACTTTTGACTTTCAGACATGACCAGCAAACAGTGCCGCAGCTGTGAAGAGGGTCACATAGTCTTGAACCATGTAAGAATGCCACACGCAGGGGCAGTAGAGAGGGCTCAGCAGTTAAGAGCACTGGCTGTTCTTACAGAGGACCCAGGTTCAGTTCCCAGCACACATATCTGGCGGTTCATAACCACTTATAACTCTAGCTCCATGGCATCTGATGCATTCTTCAGGCCTGCAGGGACCTGCACATATGTGCAGATATACTCAGAGTCACACAAATAAAAATAACTCTTAACAAAGAAAAGCCACCTCTGGGGTCACCCCGGACCTCTGACATGATTACAGGACAAGAGTTTCGAAGTCTACACATAGGGGCACACCAAGGGCCAAACCACTATAGCACAGTGTGGTGAGATCCCTCGACAGGACTTTGGGGGACTGAATAGCACCAGGCTATGGGATTTCATCCTTGGGAGACCTGCCCTTCTTTCCACACTCAAGTGAAGTCCCATAGCTAAGTCAGTGAAGACACTGTGCCCCATCACTACTTCCAGACAAACTTGAACAGAAGATGCCCAGGAGGGCTCTGATGGCATCAAGGCCTGAGAACTGATCACAGAACTGGCATTGCATAGATTTTTTGACCACCGATCAGCCCTGACTGGTGCTTGCTGTCCAATACTCACAATGGGCCAACCAGGTGGCTATCAGCAGACGAGGAAACTGGGATTCAGAAAGGCCAAAGAAGGTCAGTGTGTTCTGGATTCATGTGTGTATACATGGACATGGGGGCCAGGTCAGCCTCAGGTATCTTTCCTGGGCTACCATTCATCTCGATTTCTTTGTTTTTTTGAGACAGGGTTTCTCTGTAGCTTTGAAGCCTGTCTTGGAACTTGCTCTGTAGACCAGGCTGGCCTCCCAAACGTTGGGATTAAAAGCGTGCGCCACCACTGCCTGGCTCATTTTGATTTTTGAGACAGTCTCTCCCTGACCTAGAGCTTGCCACATAGACTAGGCTTGCTGGCCTTTGAGCCTGAGGGATCTGCCATCTCTGTCTCCCTGCCCAGCACTGAGAGTAC